AACACAGCCAAGGTCCATAAACCTATTTCTTATAAAACCATCAACATAAGCCAAAAGAATTATGGTAAAAGAAATCCTATAATGTCAGTTCCATAACGTGTGTACGCAACTTTCTGAAGGTGTGGATTACTCTAGTATATTTCTCAGTGAGAGGAAGAGATGGTATTTATTGCAATAAACAGAAAAGGAAAGGAGAAAAATATTATGAAAAACTTACATAGTAAAGACATAACGGCCAAAATATTTTATCCAAAAAAGTCTTATCCATCCTTTAGCAGATTTATTCCTATACATTCTTCCTGTTTTAGTTAATATTATAAATTATATCTCTTAGAAAATTATTTTAATTATTGCATTATTTATATGCATGATCTTATATCTATCAACAGTGCTAAAGTCCATAATTAGTTTTGGTAGTTTTTCTTTGTCTTGTTTTTGAAACTTCTACCTATTATCATTGTATGTGTATGTGTGAAGTCAAAAGGTAAATTCCAATCCAATAAGTAGTGCAGAGGTTAAGGCGGCTGGACCTCAGGGCTGACTGCACAGTTTAAGTTCAGGACCTGACAGCTTGAAAAATACACTGGGTGCATGTGTGTGTGTGCCCAAAATCCCAAGAGGAGAGAGGGGGAGAAGGGACTGCAGCATACTCATCCCAGGGAGGTGGTTTGTCACTTTCCCTCTCGCCATCTCTCTTTCTCTCTTTCTGTCTCTGCCCAGCCCACACACCCCACAGCAAACAAAATTTAAAAAGTTAAGTTCGCTCATCCTCTCTCTTATTAGAAACTCCATCCAGACTCCATTGCCTTCTATAACATATACCCCAATAAGACATCACATCAAACACTCGACCACTTTCTTGCCAGTGCCCTGTTTTCTTGTCCTTTTACATCTACTATCTAAGGGCTCAAGTGTGGATGACTTCAGTTTCCCTCCCACACCTAGATCTTGAAATAGTACTTGAGAAAATTCTAAATTAGTAGCATCACAAATTTTTGGATCTTCTTTCCAAATGCGTCTTCCTGACTGCCCTGCAACCCCATTACTTGTTGCTTATCAGACTCCCCCTTTCCATTTCCCTTGGTTGCTGTGTCAAATTTTCACCATTTTTCTCAAGCCCTTATTTCACTCACACTGCTCTTACTATCTTCTGAATGTCATTTTACTGAAATCCATCGATTGGCAATTTATACTCAGGAAGACTGAACTACTGTGGGTCTCTAATATGCCTTCATTTCTTTGCACATGCTGCTCCGTCTGCCTGGAATGTCTCCTCCAGTTTGTGTAACCAGGAAACCTTTACTTCTTCCAACCTCAGCTCAAACACTACTTCTCTGATGGAACCTTCTCACTTCAGACCCCTTCGTGTGCCTTCTACATTCTGTACCTGCCTCTAGTGACAGAAATCACTGTACTGTGTTTTGATTACTAGCTGTTTCTGTACCAACTGTAAGCTCCTTAGAAGACAAGAAATAATGTTTTCAGTTCTCTATCCCAAACACCTAGTTGACAGTAGCTAATGCTGAAGGAATGAATTTTCCTGCTAAAATATAGTTCCTTGGGTCTGACAGTATGCAGAAGAAATGAAGTTAGAGGACATAAACTTGTAAAAACCTTAGCTAGGATGAATATGGTTATTTCACCAATAACATCAAGAGTAAATCCATTGATTTGCAATTTTACGATCGCAACCCAATCAAAATGTTCTTACGTAAAATACACTTCAAGTGTATTACAGAAATCTTTCACTAAAAAACAGGACCAACAGTTGGCGCAATGGCTATGTCACTGGACTCCCATGTAGTCGACCACAGTTCGAGTCCCAGACCCTGTGGCTTAAACTCATGCCAAGCATGTGTGTACATGCCTAAGATCCCGAGAGAATGGAGAAGGGATTGCGGCATGATCATGCCCCCTGGGGGATTATTTCTCATTTTTTGTCTCTCTGTCTCTGTTTCTCTGGCAAGTGTATGCACCCTATAGCAAAAACCTCTCCAAAAAAAAGATAATTAGGGCCGGGACCAGTAGTTGGAGTGCTGGCTATGTTGCTGGACTTGCATGTGATAGATCACGGTTTGAGTCTCGGACTCAGCAGATTAAACTCACGCCAAGTGCATGTACGTGTGTGCCCAAGATCCTGAGAGGAGAATGGAGGAGAAGGGATTGTAACGTGGCGCCATCCCCCCTGGGGGGGTGATTTCTCACTTTTTTTTTCTCTGTCTCTGTTTCTCTGGCGAATGTATGCACCCTATAGCAAAATCCTCTTCCCCCCAAAAAAAGATAATTAGGGTCATGCAGTGATATGGTGCCTGGATCCTGCATGGCTGACTGTACAGTTCAAACCAAGGCACATCGCAGCCTGAAAAATATGCCACACGTGTAGGCCTACCTGCTGAAAATCCAGAAAGGAGAATAGAGAAGAAGGGATTGCAGCATGGCCATACGCCCTAAGGAGTACTTTCTCACTTTCTCTTTCACTCTCTCTCTCCGTCACTCTCTGCAAGCACACATACCCTATAGCAAATGTTTTTCAAATGATATTTTTTTTTAAAAAAAGAAAACTAAGGAACTCTACTTCTGATATACGTGAATGGATAATGAACTAAATGAACGTAAACCAGTACAACTAACACCACGGCATATGTCATTCTGTTTTAACAATGAATCTGAATGATGATCAGCCCTGCAAAAACACTTTCATTCACAAAATATTCATCACGTATATCACAAAAGAAAAACTTAGCAACAATGAAATATGATCCTTACTGCAGCTACCCCCAGAAACCCTTTTAAATAGGCAATGATTGGGACCAGCAGGTGGCATGGTGGTTAAGGTGCTGGACACTCCCACATGGCCGACCGGGGTTCGAGTCCTGAATCTGGTGGCTTACTTTCTCACTTCCTTTCTCTCTCACCCTCTGTCTCTCTCTGATCAAACTAAAAATAAATAAATTAATTAATTAAAATAAATAATAAAAAAATGGGCAATGATTAAACTGCTAGATGCAGTATAGTATGAAGTGAAGGCAGTGGTGGCTTAGTGGTTAAGGCAGCTGGATCCCACATGCCTGACTATGTAGTTGGGGTTCCAGAACTGGCAGTTTGAAAAACACACCACATTTGTGTTTATGTGTGCCCAAAAATACCAAAAGGAGTAAGAACTGAAGAAAGGCTCATGGCGTGACCATTCTTATGGCGGAGGATGCTTTCTCACTCCTCTCCCACCCCCGCCATCTCTCTCCAGCAAGCACCCACACACTCTCTGGCAAATTTAAAAAGAAAATATATTAAGTGAAAAAGTATCTCCCAAAAGGTCATACATGACTTGATACTCCTTTTATTAAAGTAAAATACATTTACTTTACTTTGGGAGAATATGTATGATTTGATACTCTTTTCATTAAGAGAAATAAAAATACATTTACTTTACTTTGGGAGAATATGAGAAAATAAACATCAACTTTAGCATGACTGATAAATGGAGAAATGCCAACAGATGGATTAGTGAAGAGGACAACGTGATTGGATTTTTATTTTATTTTCTTTAGAAAAAGATTTTTACTATAGGGTACATGCACTCACAGAAAGTGAAAAATCATTCCCCCGGGGGATGGTCATGCCACAGTCCCTTCTCTTCCATTCTCCTCTTGGGATTCTGGCACATATGCACATGCACCCAGCATGAGTTTCAAGCCTCTGGGTCTGGAACTCAAACGTCGGTCAGCCATATGGGAGTCCAGCGATGTAACTATTATACCATCAGCTGGTCCTTGTGATTAAGTAATTACCCGTTCTCACTTTGGTACTAGGTGGTGGATTCCCAGGTTACTAGTACATTATTTAAAAAAAATAAATAAATAAAAAACAGTGAGAGAGAGAGAGAGAAAGAGAAGAGGGAAGGAGGGAGGAAGAGAAGAAGGAAAGGGGAGGTAGTTGAAGAAAGGCAGACAGAGAAAAAAAGAAAAATGAAAATAGATAAAAGTGGACCAAGCACAGATCAATGCCAAGAATGTGTTTTGAACCAAAGGTGACGGAACATGAAATAATGTGACAAAACATAAAATAGAATGGAAATTAAAATTTCTCACAGAATGTAAACTAACACACAACCCATGACCTCTGAATCAAACTCAAAAGTCATGTGTACAAGTTCTGTTTCTTTCTGTTTCTAATTTCCTAACGCTTTGCAATTATACCGCGGAGGGCAGCACATTCTCCAATAAATGTGAAGCCTTCTCTACCGCCATGGACATTCTACTCAGGGAGCAGTACCTGGAGGAGGGAGAAGGAAGTGGCAGAAATAGAAATGTTGCTGACCCATCTACAGGCTCTCCTGAGATGATCATTTCCACAAGCCTCTGAACAGGCAATTGGTGATTCTTATTCATTCATTAATACTTATAAAGTGTCAATTATATGTCAAATGTCAAGACAAGCACTGAGATCCTTCAAACTTAAAATTGGGAGGGTTCTAACAAATATTCAATTCCAGTCTATCATCTAGAAAGCCCCAAAATAATCATATTCCTCAGGTCTAAGAATTAAGATAGGGGACCAGCAGTTAGCATAATGGCTATGTTGCTGGACTCCCACGTAGTCGACCACGGTTTGATTCCCAGACCTGGTGGCTTAAACTCAGGCTGGGCGCGTGTGCGTGTGTGCCCAAGATCCCAAGGGGAGAATGGAGGAGAAGGGATTACGGCGTGACCATCCCCTCTGGGAGTGATTTCTCGCTTTCTGTCTCCATGTCTCTCTCTGTCTGGCGAGCGCACGCACCCTATAGCAAAAACCTCTCCAAAAAAAAAAGAATTAAGATAATTTTTCAGGTCCTTTATTTAGCCATTTATTTACACAAGTAAGTACCAAGGCCACTCACAACTCACTACAAAGTGAGGTTATACTGGCTCCCAGAAGTTAAAGGATATCAAGTCTCTACGACAAACAATTTTATATTGCTTCTTCAACAAATGAGACTTCATACAGATATGTTGCTGTTTTACCTGCTATCTCCAAAAGTGGATTTATGTGATCTCCTTCTGCCAGCTTCACAAATCCAACCTGATTTCCAAAAGTGCCAATCCCTTCAAAGGGCAAAGTCAAATTATCTCCTTGGAGAATTTCTTCTATGAATGGTTTTAATTCCAAAAGAGCATCAATACCACTGGTAAGAAAGAGACAGTACATTTTTCAAGCAACATATTAAATAATAAAATATATAAAGCCAAGTGAGAAACAAAGTAATCAGTTTTAGAAAGATAAATTTTTATATATGAACTATCTTGAAGCTCAAAATATTTGATAAATCTAACCTATATGATTAAAACTAATAGTAATTTTTAAACAAAAACTATGGAAGTGAATTAAATCTTTACCTGCTAATAACTGTTATTAGGACATGAAAGTAGGTATTATTTTATAGTTTACCAAGAATTTTTTTTTTTTTTTAAGTTTTGCTATAGGGCACATGCATACACTGGAGACAGACAGAGGGAAAGTAGGAAATCATTTCCCAAAGGGGGATAACCACACACTAGTCCCTTCTCCTCTATTCTCCTTTTGGGCATGCATATGCACATGCCTGGCATGTTCTCCAGCTGCTAGGTCCAAGACTTGAACCACACAGTTAGCCATGTAAAAGCCAGCAACTTAATTCTCACACCACCTGCTTGCCCTCATCAAGAAATTTTTAACATGAAAATACTGCATGAACTACCAAAAAAAAAAAAAATACCAATAATATAACTACTAAAACAGTACCTATAAGAGCTTATGTTAGATTATGTGGAGAGTTTTAGATTCTTGATAAAAGTATTAATATTGGGACCAGCGAGTGGTTTGGGCACTGGACTACCAAGTGGCTGACTGCAGTGTGAATCCCAGACCTAGCACCTTGAAACTCACACGGGAATCATATGTATGCATGCCCAAAATCCTGAAAGGAAAATTGAGAAGGGATTGCGACATGACTACCCCGCACCAGGGCTGTGATTCCTTGTTTTCTGTCTGTCTCTGTGTCTCTCCAGTGAGCAAAGATGCCCTATAGCAAAAATCTCTTAAAAATAAATTATATTGTACTTACTATCTATAAGGCACTCTGTATATTAATACATATTAGCTCTTAAAATATAAGTTTATAATAAGATAATTTAATGTACTTGGGTTCAAATAAAATACAAGTTTAATTGTATTCCCCAACTGTAGCTCCATAGATTTGTTACATAGCTGTTTAGCCTATGTGATTATAGTGCTACTCTGTACTTCAAATATTTAATTTTTCTTCATGAAAATAAATGTTTATTATATTTTTGAATGAGACATGATCAAAGCTTGAATATTTGAAAATTAAGATTAATTATTTCTATCTTGGAAAGAATGTTTGCATATGGTCTTTATTATGAGAAAAAAATTAAAACCTCACTAGAGGGCAGCAATTACTTAAAAATGAAATATGGACATTCCTACAGCATAAAAAGGGCTGTAAAACACCTTCTGGTAAACCACGGTTAATTTAAATGACCTTGTTCGGTGATTTGTTCATCAAATGGGTGAAAAAAAATTAGGTATTTTTCTAGACCTTTATAAATTAGTCCCCATGTTACGTTTTAAACTATCTTCATCCATGACATTTCTCTGCTAGAACACAATACAATAATTTCTCTGTCCTGATACTCAATTAGAATAGCTTTGCAAATGTCAATACTTCTCATTATACTTCTAAATACACATCTTAAATCCAATCTTACCTAACCATATTTATATTCATCCAAAAAGACAAACATACACACTTCTAATGCAGTATTGTCCTTGATTATATCCTGTTAGTTAAAGTAACTGGTAATGGAACACCTACATCCCATTCATTTATTGTAAACTAGGAAATTCAAAATATTCCTTTAAAATAAACCTATATACTAGAGTAGGGCATGAGAAAGATTAAGATTTTACAGGGACAACAAATTCTGTATACTATTTGTCTTTAAAGAAATAGAGATGATCTGAATTCAGTCCAGTTTCTCGATTTTCTAGTGTATAATCAATAAATCTGTCCTAAGGAGGTGTCATTGATTCAGAGTGTGAAGGAATCATAGCCTCTATTGGGAAGAATCACTAACTAACTTTCTTTAAAAAAAAACTATTTAATTTTATTTATTTTTATTATTTTATAATTCATCAGAGAGAGAGAGAGGGAAAGCAAGCTGACAGGTCCAGGACTCAAACCATGGTCAACCACATGGGAGTCCAGTGCTTTAACCACCACACCACCTGCCACTCCCAAGTAACTTTCAAACTCTTTTAAATAGAGTATCTTTTCAAGAGTACCTTCTAGAAAATCTTGTCTTATTTTACGTATTTTAAAGAAAAAAAAAAAAAAGCACAGAGCATGTATGTGCTCTCCAGAGAGAGATAGGTATGGGGGTAGTAAGAAAACACTCCCCTGTGGAGATAGTCACCCAAAATCCCTTCTCCATTCTTCTCTAGAGATTTTGGGCACACATGAACACACACCCTACATGTTTCACAAGTCAGGTCTGGGACTCAAACTGCACAGTTAGCCATATGGGATCCAGCCACCTTAACTACCTACCACACCACTGGCTGGTCCCTAGAAAGACTACTGTATGGTAAAAGAAGAAAGAAGGGGACACATTTAAGAAATGGAATTTCAAAACTGGAGTTCAGAACCAAAAGTTACATTTAAATTAAGATAGGACAGCTAGCTTTTGCAATCAGTAGCTGGGTTTGGCATAACAGATACTCCTTTCTTTTACACTGTAAGGACAAAGAACCTTAGGTAATATCTACCTGAAGAAATTCATGATTTAAAAAAAAATCTCTCCATACCTGCCCTATCTAACCCATTCATCACTGCTTTATTAAACATCTAAAGATATGATGCTAGACTTTGAAAAGTAAGAATAAATACTAGACAATAATGTTAACAATCTAGATGTTATTGTATTACACAAAATAGGATGAATGATAAAAAGATTAGAGACTTTCAAAAAACCCTTCAAATAAATAATGTCTTCCCAGAAACCCAATCAATTTCACTCTTATTATATAGCTGAGACCATATCGAGAATCTCACCATCACTTAAAAGTTGACAGCTATGCCCCTCAAGAATATGGGTGGGACTTATCCATTTAGTTGCACACATTAAAGACTGAGATCTTGGGGCCAGCAGAGGACGTAGTAGTGGACTCTTACTGAACTCTCACATGGATGACTGTGGTTTGAGTCCCAGACCTGGTGGATTTAAAATCACACCAGGCGCATGTGCATACATGCCCCAAATCCCAAGATGGAAATGGAGGAGAAAGGACTGTGGTGTGGCCATTCGCCCAGGGGATAATTTCTCACTCACTCTGTCTCTCTCCGGTGAGCACACACATCCTATGGAAAAATCTTTGGGGAAAAAGAAAGACTCAGGACTTCTGAGAAAGAAGGAATTCTGTCTCCAGATTTCCTCTGGACTTGAGACTATAACATCTTCTCTTCCCTGGGTCTCTGTCCCGCCAGACTGTCCTACAGATTTGAAACTCACCAGTCCCCACAATCATGTGAGCCAATTCCTTAAAATAAATCTCTCTATATACAGGTATCTATTTCTACATGGATAAATGGCTATAAATAGATAGCTAGATTGGGCCAGCAGATGGTGTGGTGGTTAAGGGCACTAGATTCCCACATGGCCGGCCATGGTTCGAGTCCTGGACCTGGTGGTTTGCTTTCTTACTTTCTCTCTCTCTCTCTCCCTCTCCCTCTTTCTCTCTCTCCCTCCCTCCCTCCCTCTCTGGTAAAGATAAATAAATGGATAAATAAATAAAGTCAAATAAACTAATTATTTTTTTAAAAATAGATAGCTAGATAGGTATGCCTCCTATTGGTTCTATTTCTCTGGAAAACCCTGACTAGTATACCGTTCAACACACACAGAGCACGACTCTGCTCTCAGCCTTTCATCTTTGGCTTCTCTTCTTTCAAGAGCATGAAAGCGCTTATTCATTCTTATGTTGGCCAAAGTGAGTCAGGTAAAACCTCTGACCTTGCCAGGTGCTTACTCCTGGGTAGATCAGCTTGGGACAGATTAAAGATTAATCTTTAAAGACATGAGGGTCTATTGTTTAAAAAACATAACTACAATAATCATGGTGTGGCCATTTGTTTAGATCTATTCATTTGTTTTGCTTTCTCTTTTTCATTTTTATCTTTTCCTCATCCCCTTCCTAATTCAAGCCTTGCTCTTTATTCCTTCAGGAGAAATACATGCCAAGGTTAAAAACAGAGGGCTAACCAGTGGTCTGGCTAAGACAACTGGATCTCATGTGGCCTGAGTCCCAGACCTACCAACTTGAAAAATATGCCCGGCACATTTGCGTGCATGCCCAAAATCCAAAGAGAAGAGTAGAGGACAAGGGACTGTGGTGTGACCTGTCCCCCTGAAGAGTGCTTTCTCACTTTCCTTCTCTCCCTTTGTCTGTCTCTGTCACCATCATTTATGGAATAAAGAAATAAACTTTTCAAAAATTAAGAATTTAGGGCCAGCAGGTGGTGTGATGGTTAAGGTGCTGAACTCCCAATTGGTCGACCACAGTTTAAGTCTCAAACCTGGCAGGTTGCTTTCTCACTATCTCTCTCTGTCTTTCTCTAGTGAATTAAAATGATAATAATAATAATAAACAAATTATTTTAAAAAGTAGTAATTTAGATTCAATAATATTCAAGAAAGATATATTACTCACATGTTTACTTCATCTTCATTTAATAACTGCATCACTAGCAGGGTAACGTGGAAGGAACCATCACCAACCATTGTTTTGGCCAGTCGCTTATCTTGTTCTATTATTGCGTGCTGCAGGATCTTAATTCCTCTTGTAATCTAACCACATACACACACATACATATACAGAGATTTACACAAGCGAAATTTCTTTATGGAAAATGTCAAGAACAAAAATAAGCAACAATTAAAATTATAACAATGTCAAGATTCTTCAACCAAATACTTAATTGTCTACTTGTTCTCAAATATCCTAGCTAGTAAACTTAGATAGCTTAATAGGATATATGAGTTTAGGAAATAACACAATGCTTATCTATCTTAAAAGCATTGATCCCAAGGCCAGCAGGGGCATGGTGACTAAGATGCTGGACTACCACACGGTTGACCATGGTTCAAGATCTGAACCTGGTGGTTTCTTCTCTCTCACTCTCTCCATGTCTCTCTCTGGTCAAATGAAAATATAATGGGACCAGCAGTTGGCGTAATGGCTATGTCGCTGGACTCCCATGTAGTCCACCATGGTCAGAGTCCCAGACCCAGTGGCTTAAACTCATGCCAGGTGCATGGGTGCCCAGGATCCCGAGGGGAGAATGGAGGAGAGGGGATCGCAGCGTGGCCGACCCCCGTGGGGGATGATTTCTTCCTTTCTGTCTGTCTGTCTCTCTCTTTCTGGTGAGCACACGTGTTCTATAGCAAAAACCTCTCAAAAGAAAAGAAAAGAGATGAAGAGTTAATAATGAATACAATTTAATAATTTTTTTTTAAAAAGCATTGATTGCAACACCCTTATTTTGCAGACCAGGTCACTGGTTAAGCAGAAAACTCTCAATGACCATGCATCTTTTCAGATATTTGTCCTTGGAATACACAGTATGACTCACTAATTATGGTATTTCCCAAGAGAAAAGCTTTATTCTTGCCATGAAAAGGTCAACCAGCAGACAACATTCCACTTCTGTTAGAAGTAACATTTATTTGCCCCCAAGTGAATGTGTCTGAAAACCCATTCCTGGTGGCCTTTAAGATTTTTGAGCTATCAATAATTTCAACAGGAATAACTACTGTCATTTTTTAGATGTGCAAGGAGTGGTAAAACTATGGAGATAGAGATGCAAAGAAGTCCAGATGTGCATGTTAGAAGAACCGTTCCAGTTTGCCTGCAGGTGAAATCCCCACAGAGCTGGCCACTCATCTGCCCTCCCCCCTCAGTGCTCATTCCTCTGAAACAGGAGGAGGAACGACACGTCCTCCCCCCTCTACCTCCAGTCTGTTTCTAAATGTGAGTATGGAAAAGTAGTTTGAGTATGAAATAATGAGTCCAGGAAAAAAAGAGAGCACACAGTAACCCTGGGGCAATGAAAGACCTGAGGCAGCAAATTTACTGAGAAAGAAAAAGAAAAGAGAGAGGGCTGGAAAAGGAGCCAGAACCCATAGAAAAGCAGAGATAGGGGAAAAAACAGAATCATGAGCACAGCAAACTGTTTTGATACTAGAGTAGCCTCTTTATCCTGAACAATGTTCCCATTATCTGTGGAATGTGATTGGGCAAATCATGAGATGCTGTCCCGGAACCTGACTTCCCATCGACAAAGCCACCTACTTTGACTAAAACTCTGCCGGGCTATTCTGAGTCCTCTGTTTGACTAGGGCTGATTTGGGGCTTCTCTCTCAGTCCATAGAATTCAACTTGAACAAGAATCCTGCTAAGTCTAGACAAAAATCTCCCAGTCTTGATATCTGACCACCCTCCATATCTGATCACCCTGGTCCATCTTCAGCAATGATCATGTCAAGTCAGTTCTTCCAAAAACCCTTCTCTGGTTGTGTCCTCTTAGTAATTTCCCACCCATTGAGCACACTCTGCTCCTTGGTTATAAATCACTACTTGTCTTTGTTGAAATTGATGTGGAATCGCATTTCTTTCTCTCACTCACAGACCTCACTGCAGTGGTCTCTGTACCTACGGCTATGGCCACCTTAAATGAGGTCTGTCTTACCAACTTGAACAAGTGTCATGAATGTTACACGAATACTGGGTACCTTTAAAATAAATCCATACCAACCCAAATAACCTCAGCATTTCTCTACTCCTTAGAAATCTAAGTGACAAACAGAGGAAATGGTGTCTTCCCAATAGGAGGTTGTACCATAACACCTAACAAACCATTCCTCAGCACAAAATGTCACATCTATGATATCCAATAAAAGAATGTCAGTAGCCTGATAAATAAAATGTCCAAACATAATGGTTATGAAAAGGTCTTAGAGAGTCACAGCTTCCTTATGCTATGCAGATAAAACAGAATTGCAAACTCTTTGTGGGCCATGTCCATTTCTTCTACCCTAGTCTCTCACCAGTGCATGGTAATCATAATGAACACAATACTTAAATAGTAGCAGCAAATAACCCTTACTGTGCACTAGTTCTAGACACCATAGTAAGCATTTTATAAATATGAGGGGACTTCAAAAATGCTATGGAAAATGAAGACCATTATTTCTCTGTAGTCACATAGTATTTTTTGATGATTTTTAAATTTAACTGTATTTATTTATTTATTTATTTATTTATTTATTATTTTACCAGAAATAGATAGAGAAAGAGAGGGAAAATGAGAAAGCAAGCCCTCCGGTCTGAGATTCGAACCATGGTCGGCCATGTGGGCGTCCAGCGCCTTTAACCACCAGGTCACCTGCCAGCTTCTCACACAGTATTTTTAATGTAGGATGAACCTCAAGAAGAATTAAAGAAAACTAAACTTAATCTAATCAAACAATCAGTTTCTAACTATGCTTTTTTTTGGTTTTGTTAAATATTATCTAACTGTATTTATCATCATTGCAATTTTTAATTTGCCACACAACATACATGTTCATCAGAGAGAGAGAGAGAGAGAAAGCAAGCCACCAGGTCTGGAACTCGAACCATGATTTGCCATGTGGTAGTCCATGCTGTCTACTGTCCTCTCTAACTATGTTTTAATGTTCCAGAATAATTTATATTCCTTGATGCCATCTTAAGACTTTTTAAAAATGCTTTTTAATCTAATTACATTCTTTAAAAGTTAAAGAAAAGAAAAGGAGCACTTCAGAGTCTCCTCTCTCTGTCGTTTCTTATAAGTACCAATGTCATCAAAGGCTAACGAAAACTAATTTTTACACTCACTGTCTAACACTCCAAAAAGCCATCATAGCTTATCTATTACTATAACCTCCAGCCTGTGGCGACACTGTACAAAGCACATTTTTAAAACCTGATGCCATAAAGCCAAATTCAAATATTTCATTAAAAGAAACTTGTAAAAATAAAACCTTTATTGAAATCTTAAATATTTCATTCGTTGAGTCATTTATTTAAAAGAATGAAAGCAGACATCCATCTGCTAAACATCACTGCTAAGCCATACTCCACATGCCTGAAAATAACGCAGCTAGAAAATTTGTTTTTATATCTTTTACACTTTTTAACTAACTCAAAGCATACATGAGTTCAAAGAAACTGCCTTGAAGTCAGTGTGTTTCTAAATGAAAGAGAAGAGTTATGTCCCAGTACATGGGAAGGGCATGCCTGAGACTTCATTTTTTGACATTGTTCTTGAGATTTTCCAAGCTGTTAAATACATTGTTCCTAAATATGTTGCCCTGTTAAGATTTTCTAGAATTGTTACATTGTTTGCTACCTAACTTTTCTTCAAAGGTATTGAATACTTTCATTTTTCTTGCTTGTCTACAACCAGGAAAAGAACTTGAAAAATTCATGATATAGGAACAACTGGAGTAAAAATAAACCATCCTAAAATACACAAGAATGTCTAGATCTACCCAGTGCTTACCAAATTATACATGACAGTATCAAATACTTTTATTATTACATTTTCCAGAAATGAATTAATCTACATCCATATTTTGTAAGGCCAGCCATTTCCACATTACAAAGTGATGAAATACAAAATGAAATGTAACAAATGCCTTTAAAAGCCCTGAAGAAAATAATCTTTTTCCATTAGAGTATTAAAAAAAAGTTATCAAAAAAAGCAAAACATACAAAATTTTAATCCATTTCTGATGGTTCCTTACATCTTTAAAATGATTTACCTCATGTTATTACTTCTCACAAAAAAAGTATACAAAACCAACATAAGAATAAATCCAGCTAGAATGAATAATTACACAATTCTAGCCATTTATGAAATATTTAGGATTTATAATAACCTCATCAAAATTTTTTCTTCTTTTATTTTTAAACTAATGTATAACTGCGGGTTAATGGAAAAACACACACTTTCGTACATTCCATTTAGGATATTTTTATGCAGCCATTCTGATTTTCCAATTCTAGTTCTTTAAAATAGCAAATGAAGACTTTTCCATGAATAAAGAATTTGCAACTTTTAAAATCAAAGACCAATGTAGTTCTAAATACTCTTTTCTTTACAACTAGATGCCAGAAAGTAGAGGCCAAAAGTAGAGCAATCCATTGTGAATGTGCTCCACGCTAAAAGCTTGCTTGCAGGTCACTTAATTGGAACTTGGAATACAGACTCACATTGAAACAATGTTATAAATGGCCCTTCTTTCCCAGGCATTCCCACAAAAGCTCATAAGTAGTTTAAAAAGAAAATTGCCATTAGTTACTTTAAAACAAACAAACAAGAAAGGTACTCATACAGTAGATACAAAATATATCTCCTAATCCTGCCCAATTCTTTTGTCTCCTCCCCACCTATATATGTAAACTTGCTACACTTTGTTATCTACAAATAAGTCTCTTGAGAAACATTAAATTATGTGGTCTTGAAATCTGCATTTCCCAATTTTTTGAAACTTTTTTTTAAGAGATTTTTGCTATAGGGTACATGTGCTCACTGAAGAGACAGCAAGAAAATGAGAAATCCCCCAGGGGGAGGGAGAGCAGGCGATGGCTATGCCACAATCCCTTCCCCACCATTCTCCTCTGGGGATTTTGGGCATATACACACACATGCACCCAGTGTGAGTTTTAGGCCACCAGGTCTCAAACTGAACCACAGATGACTCAGTTTGAGTCCAGAGATGTAACCATAACGTCATTTTCTTTCACTCACATGGGAGACAGG